TATTAGTTATTTACTCTTTAATTTATTATTATAAGTGTTAAAATTAATAATAAATTATCAAAGAAGCTAATTGGTGGATATATTTTAAAATGCCCTTAAATTTTATATATGAATATATATGGGAGTTATTTATGACTTATAAACAAAATAATGGACTTCAAAGATGCCAATATCTCTAGTTTTCAAAGCCTAAGCTTAACAGTATGTTATGTTAGATTGCTAAAAAAGAGATCAACCACAGATGGGATATATATATATCATCCCCCAAACCCAGAGAACATTGCAGAAATGATGACAGAAAGAATATAATAGCTAGAGGATGGCGAAGAATGATGTGAAATGATGTCTTCTAATCTTGACATGATTGTTGTACACATGAACTCACAGAAACTATGGTTACCTACATAAGATCTACACAAGGTCAATCCAGTTTACCATTCCAGCCTGGAGTGATGGACTCCCTAGTTCTCAACACTAGCTGAGGAGTTAGTGGCAGTTGGTGGTTCCTGAGAAAAGGAAAAGTCACTTGCCTTCTGAACGGTAGATACTGGTCAGTTTGCCATGCTCCAGTGCATGCACCCACACCTAAGCATGAATGAGAAGCATTAAATGGGATCATTTGTTTATTAAAACTAAAAAAGCGAACATAGAGTTGAGAGGGTGGTATATTAGGGGAGGGTCCTGGATGAGGGGGTTGGATCTGATCAAAATTCCTTGCATGTATGTATGAAATTTCAAGGAATAAATTTAGCAAACTAATAAAAACAAAGTCTTTCAAAGATAAAACTGTAATAAAAGGTATTGTATTTCAAAAACAGAAAAAAATATTTGCTATTTGAATCTAAGTTACCAAAGATGATACAGTAAAATGAAATAAGACAGAATTAGCCTGCACAAGTTCAATGTAAACCCAATATTGGCCTTCAAATATTGGAGGCAAAATAAGCATCTTCAGCATACTATTGTGGGTTCTCTCAAGGCCTTGATTTTCAGTCTGGTGATTTCAATATCCAGCAATATGATGTAATAAATCTAGGTTAAGTTTGTGGTAATATTTTTATCAGAAACAATAGAAAACTAGGACACCAAGGTTTGTATCAAATATCATGACCCCAAAGTGACAATAATAAGTTATTATTATAATTAATAATAATAATATAACTGAATCAAATAAAGTGAACACAAAGTCTTATAATTGACAAATTTTGCCCTGTATTTCTTTTATGTGTTATTTTTATTTTATGTGTATGCATGTACTGCTTGTATGTTGTGTAAGTGTAGTGGAATGCCTGTGGAGAACAGAAGAGGGTGTTGAATCCCCGGGAACTCAAGTTATAGATGGTTGTTACCTGCCATGGGTGGGTGCTAGGAACCAAACCCCAATCCTATGCAAGAACAGCCAGTGCTCATAACCACTGAGTCATCTCTCCTGCCTTTTACCCTGTATTTTTAGCCGTGTTTGAAAATGTTACAATTTTAAAGATAGTGTTTATTTCAAACACATTTAAAAAATAGAAAATAACATGAGCTGTTGATGAGTTACCAAAATATAAAACCATTATTCAGGTCTTATGAAAGGGAGAATATAGTAGACAGCAGGCTAATATTGTAAGCTGACTATTTGCCTTAAATTTGACCCACTACACACACACACACATATGCTAATATGTGTATATGCATACATGTATATTTACACACACAAGCATATATATATAGAGAGAGAGAGAGAGAGAGAGAGATCAATCATGTCTGATCTTTTAACTTGCACACAGGCATGATAAAGAAATAAAATAGTCCTTGTAAAATTGCACTAGTCCAGATATTGCTCATGTAACCTTGTACCAAGTCCTCAGTTTTAAAATAAAGCCTAGAGGGGATGTCTTCACAGGGTGACCCCCTTGAGAAACCTATATTCTCTATAAAAGCCTATATTTCAGACTTTCTGTCTGAATAACACTCACTCTCAATTCCTTACAGTGCCACAAATGTGGAACCACTGGTGTCTGAGATTTCCCTAAGTGTTTCTTCTGGCAGTAATGACATCCCGCAACCTTAATTTGTGTAAGTACACCCTAAGATATCCACACAATGACAAAATTGACTAAGGAGAGACTTTTCAGAAAGAATTCACATTGTCAACTGACTTAAGATTGAATCTAGAAGCAGAAAAGCAAAATGTGATAAAGAGTGTAAAACTATTTACATAAGATGAAAGACACACTCCTAAACAATTTTTAAAGAAATCATGATATATTTGAAGGTATATTAAAATAAACAGAAAAGTCAGTGGAAACTCAGTACAAAGATGCAGAAAAATGAGCAAGTGTTTAAAGACTGCAGTAATTTCATTTAAGTAGGTAGATTTCAACTTCAGAGACTGAAAATTAGAATAGTCTTTAGTGTTAATAATAGGTGCTTGCCCCTCAACATCTGGATGAATTGTCTTCTCCCTGAAATGCTCCATTTTGGAAAACATACTGTATGGGGGAAGGAAAATCATATCATACTATGCATTTCTTAAAACTTTTCCCACTCTTTTTAGGAAAGGATCCCAAGTCCTTGGTCTGTCTTCCAGTGGAGGCAAATCCTACGTGTTGTCGTCTTTCTCTCTTGCTCTTCACTTTACCTTTCTTTGAGCATTTCTCTAAATTTTATTTCTGCTCCTTATTCCTTAGTATTTCCATCCCCTTGTTAACCTCTCTTTTCCCAGCACAGAGGCTTCCTTGGAAACTATATATTAATCACTTAAAATAAAAGCACAAAGTTCATATATACGATGGATTTTTACTCAGCAGTAAAGAAAGATGAAATCATGAAATTTGCAGGTAAATGGATGGAACTAGAATCTGTTATACT